TTCTTTTTTTTTAATCGTGTTTTTATTCTCTGTTGGTTTGTTTTTCGCTCCGTGTGCAGGAGGCGGAGGTGTGTAACCAGATCATTTTGGTGGAGGACGTCCTGGCTCGTCTCTGTCAGAACTCCTTCCCTCTGTCCCAGCTCCAGAACCGACCTCTGCCCGAAGGAGTCGACCCGCTCAGGCTGGAGATCTACCTCTCCGACCAGGACTTCCAGGTCAGGACCCGGGACCAGAGGGTAGAGACAAAGGGGCTAGACCAGGACTGAACCGGGACTGAACCAGGACTAGACCAGGACTAAACCAATATTGAACAAGGACTAGACCAGGAGTACACCGGGACTGAACCAGGACTGAACTAGGGGCTAAACCAGGACTAAACCAGGACTGACCAAGGACTGAAACAGGACTAAAGAAGGGGCTAAATAAGAGACTAGACCAGGACTGAACCAGGACTAAACCAGGACTGAACTAGGGGCTAAACCAGGACTGAACCAGGACTGACCAAGGACTGAAACAGGACTAAAGAAGGGGCTAAATAAGAGACTAGACCAGGACTGAACCAGGACTAAACCAGGACTGAACTAGGGGCTAAACCAGGACTGAACCAGGACTGACCAAGGACTGAAACAGGACTAAAAAAGGCGCTAAATAAGAGACTAGACCAGGACTAAACCAGGACTGAACAAGAGGCTAAATAAGAGACTAGACCAGGACTGAACCAAGACTGAACCTGGGTCTAAATAAGGAGCTAGGCCAGGACTGAACCAGAACTGAAGAAGGACTAGACTGGGAACTAAACCAGGACTGGCCAAGGACTAGACCAGGGACTGACCAAGGACTAGACTAGGGACTGAACCAGGACTAGACCAGGACTAAACAAGGACTAAACCAGGACTAAACCAGGACTGAACCAGTTCTGAACCAGGACTGAACCAAAACTAAACCAGGACTCGACCAGGACTCGACCAGAAATCAACCAGGACTAGACCAGGACTAGAGCAGGACTGAACCAGGAACTTAAGAGGCTAGACTTGGAACTAAACCGGGACTGAACCAGGACTAAACCAGGACTGAATGAATCAGGACTAAATAAGGACTAAACAAGGACTGAATGAATCAGGACTAAATAAGGACTAAACAAGGACTGAATGAGGGACTGAATCAGGACTAGGCCAAGGACTAAACCAGAACTGAACAAGGGCCTAAACCGCGACTAACCAGGGTCTAAACCAGGACTAAACCGGGGACTAAACTAGGACTGAACCGGGACTAAACAAGGACTGAACAAGGACTGAACCAGGACTGAACAAGGGCCCAAACCGGACTGAAGAAGATACTAATCCTGACAAGAACAAAGACTAAACCTAGGACTATACAAGGACTGAACCAGGACTAATTCAAGATGCACTAAACAAGGGACTAACCCAGGTTTGAACAAGGACTGAACTAGGACCAAACAAGGACTAGACCAGAGACTAAACCAGGACTAAACCAGGAATTACACCAGGACTGAATAAGGGACTGAACCAGGACTGAACCAGGACTAGGCCAAGGACTAAACGAGGACTAAACTAGGACTGAACCAGAACTGAACCAGGACTAAACCAGGACTGGACAAGAACAAGGACTCAATCAGGACTGAACAAAGGCATAAACCACAACTGAACCAGGGTCTAAACCAGGACTAAACTGGGGACTAAACCTGACATGACCCATGACTAAACCTAGGACTAAACAAGGACTGAACCAGGACTAAACCAAGACTCAACCAGGACTAAATCAGGACAAAACTAAGACGGAACCAGGACTAAACCAAGATGCACTCAACAAGGAACTAACCCAGATTTGAACCGGAACTAGACCAGGACTAGACCAGGACTAAACCAGCATATTTATTCTGATCTTGTTCCAGTTTGACCCTCGATAAACTAAAGACGACAAAAACCAAAACATATTTCTTTGTGTTGAAACATTCTCTTCTCAAATACATTTTCTATTATAACATTTTTACATCCAGTCTTACCACACTGTTCATCTTTATTATTCTTTATTTATTCTTTATTTATTTATTAATTCCATGTAACTTTAACTTTTCAGAACAAGTTGTAGTTGGACTAAGGTAAGGCTCAGTCAGGGCTCATCTCCGCATGGCCACAAACCTGCAAAAACTCTCTAAACCTACTCTATCTTATGTTAAAATGACTTGAATACATCTTTTTTTATTATTATTATTTATATTTATTCAGTTCGTTGGTCTAGAATCAAATTTTACTTCAATATTTCAACATTTTCAGATTTTCCCCGTGTTTTTTCTCACATTTAATCGCATTTTAATTGCACTTTTCGTTTCTCCGTGGACATTTAAAGTGCGTACGATTCTCTAATTTCCACTTAAGTTTGTAAAATTGAATCTGTTGTAAATTTAAATTCAATTTTAAACCAGTCGAGAAGCAAATTGCGAAGAAAAGTTGGAAAATGTGTTTAAAATTACAGAAAGTTTAGTTCTATTTGGGAGAATTCTGTCCAAATGTTAAAAAGAAACACATTTTTTTGATAATTTAAACATAATTTCTGCAAAATAAAGATGTTTTATATTTTTATTTGTCAGATAATAATTTCTGTGGACATTAAAAGAGCTTTGGATTAGTTTGATGTCACAATTTCCAACCAGAGAGTAAAATTTGAAAATCTCGACTGGTTTAAAACTATAATTTATATTTACAACAGGTAACATTTCACCAACTTAAGTAGAAATTAGAGAATCGTACACACTTTATCTGTCTAATTAGAAAAAAAAAGTTCAAATTAAATGTGATTTTGCTGCGAGAAGCTTTGGGACACTGTGTTTTGGAACAATAAAATAAGAAAAATTTTGCAATATTGAAGTAAAAATTGGAAAAATTTGGGGAATAAAAGTTAGATGTTTATTAAAATCTTAAATATCTTGATTATCTTGACAGTGTTTTTGTAAAATGAGCAGTCTGACCTGTAGGGATGGGACAAGATCTCGACAAAATTGCCACAAAATCTTGCAAACGTGACAAAAATTATTGCGTTTACATTTTTACATTTGATTTGGATGAAAAATTAGTTAATTTTGATGAGAAACTCCTCGTGAGAAGCTGTAATACCAAAAAAACACCAAACTTTAACATTAAATAAAGCAAAAATAGTGAAGCAATAATTATGAACTGAACGGCACAATTTATTTATCGAAAAATTACATCAAAATCTCGTCCCGATCTTGTAGAAATTGTATCTCCATATGTACATTTTTCAGAGTTTTTTTTATTTTTCCTATAATTTTTTTATAATGAAAACATATTTGGATACATTTATTATAATTCTTTTAATTTTACATTTTTATTTATTTATTATTTGTATTATTTTATTATTTTTATTATTATCATTATTATTTTTTATTATTTTTATTTGTTTTTTTTTTTTTATTTATTTTATTTTTATTATTTATTAATTTATTATTTTTATTACATTATTATTTTTATTATCATTATTATTTTTTATTATTATTTATTTGTTTGTTTTTATTTATTTTATTTTTTATTATTATTATTTTTTAAATTTGTTTTATTTATTTACATTTTTTTATATTTATGATTTACACTGGGTCAGCTTAAGAAAATCAAAAAAATAAAACAAAAAAAACTATATCTCATCTCATCCCGACTTAAAAAAAGGTAAAAAAATAAAAAATTAAGAGTTAAAACAATTTTAATATATTGAATTCAAGTCATTTTAAAGGTTCAATATGTAACATTTCTGCTGAGGGGGTCGTCCTCCTGCTTGTCTCCATGGAGATGTTCCTCAGTGTGGCATTAAACTCAACTTCCTTGCATTTATTTGAGTGTTTTTGTCGCTGAAAACTGCCTGAACACGAGAATAACATGCATTTTTACCACAGATCTGACCCGTAACTTTAAAAAAATAAATACGTTTAATGCGACACTGCGGAACATTCCAGGCGACTCGATAACATCTCCATGGAAACGAGGAGCAGGTGTCAGGTCCCTCGTCCGAAATGTCCCACCTTTAATAACACCCGTGGATGTTTTTGCAGTGTTCTGTCTTTTTCTAATGAATTAATTTTAATCGACTTCATATTTGCAACTTTCTGAACACGATTTTTTTTTGTTTTAAATTTGCACTTTTTTTTTTTTTTTTTTTTTTTTAAATCACGAGTTTTGTCACGATCACAGAGAGACGGAGGACGGACTGTGGCAGAGTGGTTAACCTCTCTCCTCCGCTCAGTCACCGGGCTTTACACAACACACAATGATGGCATGATTTACATGATGTCTCTCCTCTTCTCCTCTTTCTTTCTCCTTTCGCTCCTCTCTTCTTTCTCTCTCACCTCTTTCCTCTCTCCTTCCTCTTCTCTCTCTCTCTCTCTTTCTCTCGTCTTCTCTTTCTCTTCTCTGTCTCTCTCTCTTCTCTCTCCTCTTCTCTCTCATCTTCTCTCACTCCTTCTCTCTCTTTTTGTCTCTCTTCTCCTCTCTCCACTTTCTCTCTCTCCTCTCTCGTTCCCTCTCGCTCATCTTCCTCTCTCGCCTTTCCTCTCTCTCCTCTTTCTCACTCCTCTCCTCTTTTCTTTCCTCTTCTCTCTCTCTTCCCTTCTCTTTCCTCCCCCCTCTCCTCTTCTCTCTACTTCTCTCTTTCACTCCTCCTTTCTTTCCTCTTCTCTCTCCCCCTCCCTCCTATTCTCTCTTGTTCCTTCTCTCTCCTCCCCTCTCTCTCCTCTCATCTTTCTCTCTTCTCGTCTCCTCTCTTCTCTCTCCTCTTTCTCTACTCTCTCTCTTCTTTCTCTTTCCTCTTTCTCTCTCATCTCACCTTCCCTCTCGCTCTTCTTTCTCTCACATCTCTCTCTCCTCTTCTCTCTCTCCTCCGTCTCGCTCCCCTCTCTCTCCTCTTTCTCTCACCCCTCTAACTCCTCTTCTCTTTCTCCTTCTCCCTCCTCCCATTTCTCTTTTCTCTTCTCTCTCCTCCCCTCTCCTTTTGCTCTGTCTCTCTCCTCTCTCTCTCCTTCTCCCTCTCTCTCTCTCTCCTTTCTCCTGTCTCTCATCTTTCTCTCTCCTCTCCTTTTTCCTCTTCTCTTTCTCTCTCATCTCTTTCTCTCTCCCTCTCTCTCCTTCCCTTTTCTTTTTCCTCTCCTCTCTCCTTTGTCTCCTCCCCTCTCTCCTCTCCTCTCCCTTCTCCCCTTTCTCGTCTTTCTCTCCCCTCTTCTCTTTCCTCTTCTGTCTAATCCGTCTCCTCCCCTCTCCTTTCACTCTTCTCTCTCTTCTCCTCTCTCCTCTTTTCTTCCCTCTTTCTCACCGAGCACTAAATTCCACATGACATTAAATCATTTCTTTTTCTTGCAAAGACTTGAGTTCAGAATAGTCGTGATTAACAATAACGATGCTTTGAAAGTGGGAAAGTCAGGAGTCAACTTTTTTTTTAATCACATTTCACGATTTTTCACAATCTTTAAATTATTAAAAACACAAATTCGTCAAATCTTGAGTCGTCTGCTGTGATTTTTCGCTTTACAAAAATGAACTCAAAAATCTTCTGCACGTTCAAACTTTCCCAAACTCTAATCCACGTTAATATTCTGAATCCAAGTCATTTAAAAATCGCCGTAGCGTCTTAAAAAATAATAAATGAACTCTTGTTTTTGTGTGTTTTTTGCAGAGCGCGTTGGAGATGACGAGAGAGGAATACGAAAGTTTGCCGAGTTGGAAACAAGTGAATCTGAAGAAAGCCAAAGGACTTTTCTGAGTTTGTGTTTAAAGTTACAGAACGTCGAAAACGAACGAAACGCGGTGGACTTTTACAGACCAGACAGGAAGCTACCGGAGACTGAACTCTGCCTTTTCTTTTCTTTTTTTTCTTTTTTTTTTTTTTCGAAAATCACGTTTTGTCTTTTTGAGTTTCTTTTTAAACGTTACGGCGTCGCTGGAGCTTCCGTCTCCGATCGGAAGGAAGGAAGGAGGCGAAGCTGCAGCGCCCCCCGGTGGTCGAATGCGAGAGCGAATGTCGTCACGATGATCCGGCACTTTTCTATCGAGTGGTTTCGCCATTTCAAAAGTTACGAGATTTAGTTTTGAATTGTTAATCGCTACGGAAACGGCCCTACCTTGAAATAACGCATTATCCGCGGCTTTTTAACGACTTTTCAGTGCTTAAATCTTGTTTCAAAACTATTTATGTATATTTATAGAAAGTATTTTAAATTATTTCAGCCTTGATGATTGAAAACAAACGTCTGCAGGTGCGCTGAGGAGTTGAGCAGTTTAAATGAGGCTTGAACAGTAGCTGCACTTCCGGTTTCGAAGACAATTATAACCTGGTTTAAAAACTCAAAAACATAAGTTAGTTTTGCTTAATGTACGACCTAAAAGCTGTTACAGTTTTTAAATAATGGCACTGTTTATAATGTGGAAAATAAGTCCTTCATGTTCAGTGTTTTTACGGTTTAATAGAGTCGTGCAGCAGGTGTTTGACGTGTTTTATGGGTAAATTGGATTTTTTTTTTTGCGACTAAACGGTGTATATGGTGTTTTTAAAGCTTTGTCCACTGTACCTAGTCATGTTGGAGTGATTTTAGTTCAAATTATGTAAATTTTGCAGCTTTCTGGTAAAAAAAAAACAACCTGATTCTAAGTTTGTGCTGCCTTCAGGGGCCTCAGCGAGTTCCAGTAGTTGGTGACATCACACAGAACTGCCCTAATCGCAGCCATCTGGAGACCTGTTAGACCAATCAGATGGTTCCTTATAGCCCCAGACCCTGCCCCTCGTCCTCCCTCACTCTCCCCTTTAGTCCTCCAGACCCTGTCCCTCATCCTTTCTCACTCACCCTTTTAGTCCTCCAAACTTCCCCCTTGTCCACTTTCACTCTCCTCTTTAGCCCTCCTGACCCCGCCCCTCCTCACCCTTTTAGTACTCCAGACCCCGCCCCTCATCCTCCCTCACTCTCCCCTTTAGTCCTCCATAACCCACCTCTCCTCCCCCCTTAAGTCCTCTAGACCCCACCCTTCCTCCCCCTTTACACTTCCGTTTAATCCTCTAGACCTCCCCCTCGCCCTTTTAGTCCTCCAGACCCTGCCTCTCATCCTCCCTCACTTGCCCCTTTAGTCTTTCAAATCTCGTCCCTTGTCTTCCCTCACTCTCCCCTTTAGTCCTCCAGACCTTCCTTACTCTCCCCTTTAGTCCTCCAAACCCCACCCCTTGTCCACTTTCACTCTCCCCTTTAGTCCTCCAGACCCCACCCCTCGTTCCCCTCACTGCCCCCTTTAGTCCTTCAAATCCCACCCCTTGTCCTCTCTCACTTTCCCTTTTAGTCCTCCAGACCCCGCCCTTCCTTCCCCTTTACTCTTCCCTTTAATCCTCCAGACCTCCCCCCTCACTCTCCCCTTTAGTCCTCCAGACCTCGCCTCACTCTCCCCTTTATTAATCCAGGATCTGCCCTTCATCCTCCTTCACTCTCCCCTTTAGTCCTCCAGACCCCACCCCTCCTCTTCCCTTTAGTCCTCCAGATATCAACCCTCACTTTACCCTTTAGTCCTCCAGATATCGACCCTCAGTCTACCCTTTAGTCCTCAAAACCCCGTCCTTTGTCCTCCCTCAGTCTCCCCTTTTGTCCTCCAGACCCTCCTCACTCTCCCCTTTAGACCTCCAAACCCCGCCCCTCCTCTTCTTTCACCCTCCGCTTTAGTCCTACAGACCCCACCCCTCCTCCACCCTTTAGTCCTTAAAACTCCGCCTCTCATCCTCCCTCAGTCTCCCCTTTGGTCCTCCAGACCTTTTTTTTTTTTGGTTTGCAATCGTATTAAAAATTGGCGTGTTATTTTCAGACAGAAAACTGCAAGATTAAAATCGGTTTTATTGATTTCATAGATTTAATCCTTTACAAAATTTAAATGTTTTGCATCATTTTGTGTTTTTTTTTTCTTTTTAGTTAGTTCGGTACTTTCAGTTTTTCTTTTCCTTTTGGTGTCTTTGCTGAGATTCTTTTTACGAGTTTTATCCCAAAACCGTAAACTTTTTTTGGGGCAAATACCATCTTCTCTTCTTGTATATTTCAGTAATTACCTTGCATGTTTTTTTTTTTGTAATTTATTTGTTACAAAAATTTACCGAAACTATGCCGACTTTAAACCGCCGATAATCTGTACATTTTCTGCCAGTTTAGTGCCAGATTTTTCTAAACGATGCCAACAGCTTTTGTCCTGTACATTTTTGGAGCACTTTTGCCAATTTTCACGATTTTTACCTGCGATTTTACCACTCAAAATTTTAAAAAATCAAGGTTTATAAGTATTAACTTGATATATTTTATATATTTTCAAAACCGAATGAATGAGAGCGTGAGCTTTAAACTAAACGTATTATTTGTGTAATTTTTTTAAGGTCCTATATTGTGGTTTTTAAGACTTTTTGAGCTTTCGAATTTCACATTTTACATTTTATTTTCAACGGATAATTACGTATAAGTTAACGGTGGAATGTTCCTCAGTAAAAAAGACAACATTTTAGTGTCAGTGAATCAAAAATGCAAATCCATGTACGTTTTTGGTGCGTAAAAACGATAATTACGCGATTAAAAGCTCGTAAAAAGTCGGATTTACACGATGTAGGACCTTTCCCGTTTCCCGTGGACTTGAGACGATTGGAGTGTCAAATGCCGTGGACTTGCGTATGTCTGACTGTACATAGTAATATCTTTATGGATGTTTCATTTTAATTTAACGTGTGTTTGAATGTGACTTTGTACAAACCGCTGTCGTGTTCCGACGTCACGACACGGAGGACTGAATGTATAGTGCCTTGGTTTTTTGTGTACAGTTTCTACAGAAATTTGAGACTTTTCTGATGAGTCCCCCGTTGAGGAAATAGTGAATAAACATGCTCAAGTCTGAACGGGTCTGTGCTCTGTGAACGTGAACCGGGCGGAGAGAGAAGCACGGGACCGCAGTCTGCTGTTCATCTCACGGTGCAGGTACAGCAAGTAGTTTGAGAGTTAAAGAAGCAATTTTTATTAGTAAAGATAATCCATTTATGAACAGAAATTTGAATTTAAATGTATTTGTTTGGAGGATAAGCCCCTGGAGATGTCTCGCCATCTCGTTCTCGACGGGGTCCACATAAATAAAAAGATTCAAACAAGCATCAAAACTACAAAATCAACACAACCACAAACACACACTCACACACACACTTGACTGTTTGACACATAATAAAACTAATTTGAAAAAAATAAAATTTATAAATAAATAATAATAATAATAATAAAAATATTAATAATAATAATAATCATCATCATCATAATCATAATAATAAATACATTGATGATGATAATAATAATGATAATAATAATAAAAAATAAAACAGAGTTCAAAGATAATCACAGAATACAAAAAGATGAACAACAAAATTCAACACACACACTCACTCACACTTGACTGTTTGTCACATAATAAAACAAAATTTTAAAAAATATAAAATAAAAATAATAATAATAATAAAAATAATAATAATAATAATTAATAAAAAATAAAACAGACTTCAAAGATAATCACAGAATACAAAAAGATGAACAACAAAATTCAACAAAATTATCAAAAACAATTACACGGGTTCACGGGAGCATTTTTAAATGAAGGGACAGAAGTTAAAGGACGAATCGATGAGGGAAAATCGTTCCAATCATAAGGAGCTTTATATGTAAATGAGTGTTTTCCTATTTGAAATGGAGGACTTAAACGTCATCTCTTTATTTACAACAACATCCTCCTAAAGAACCTAAATCAAAACAAATAAAACAACAGTGATCACCTGTGTGCTCAATTCAATTCATTTTTTTTTTGTTTTTTTTTCACAATTACTTAGATTTAGACAAACTTTACTCATCCACAAGGGAAATTATTTGGACACAATAGCTCACACATTAACAACAAAGAGTAAAAAATATATAAGGTATTAATACATTTTAAATAAGTAG